TTTGTTTTATGGTATCCTTCATTGGCACTGTCAGAATAGGAAAATTTCCAAACTAGAAGTCATTTGAAAGTAAGAGTCCTATTTTAGAATTTAATCACACACATTAGTATTAAGTATTTTCTTCCAGATTCCTTAAGTTTTTTGTTTGTTTGTTTGTTTTGTTTTTTGTGCTACCCCCCAAGTATTCCAATGTAAGCCAATACTACTTTCAGTTCTTCCTGGATATTCCAACCCTTCTTTTAGAATCAATTGCAGTTTTATTTCTCTGTCTTCATACCTGTGGTCTTGCTCTCATATTACTCCATTTCTTGAAAGACTGATGTCAATAGAACCCATGGAAAGACTGACAGTTCATAAAGATTTTATTGTTGTTGGTATTACATTGGTTTATCACTTCTAGACATGTGGGATGGCTTAACAGTCAAGTTCTTCTGTTGGAATAAAAAATATTCCCAGAAAATTCACTTTCCTTTCAAAAGGTTAGCTTAAGAATTAATATGAAGCCTGTTTACAGAGATTAATTTTGCCGAAGAGTCCAGCTGATATTAAACAGAAACCAATTTATACAGTCAAGATGAATAATGGGACAACAGACTTTCCTTTTTCTAATAGTAAGTTTAGTCAGTGAGTTTAGTAAGATTACTATTTCTAATAGTAAGGTTCATTTGAGGGTGAACAAAAATTCTTCAGAGTTGCATTTTTTTGGTATGTAGTTATAGTTTTAGGGCTCACTGTTTCTGAACTTTTAAAGCATTTAGGTAAACTGATAGTCATTTTTGACAGGAAAGTACCTTGAAGATCAACAGTAGCTTTTGATTAGAGACATTTGACAACACTGCTTTCTCATTTGTCATGTATAATTGTATTCTTTGACATGGACTGGTGTGCTTCTTTTTTTTAATTATTGTGTTATACCCTTAACTATTATGCATTTGTTGCTACCTTTAATTCAAATCTAGATGACGCTATTTGTGTGTGTGTGTGTAGATATGTTTCTATTTCTTATACTCCACAAGAAGTTTAGCATTTAAGGTAGGTTGTTTTTTAAAACTTCAAACTATAATTACCAATCTTTATGACTCTGACCTTCAATAAATAATGGTTTGGGGGGATGCTTCTAAGACCGGAAGTATATTAATCACCATTCTCTTTAAATTCTACGAAGCAGATTCTCCATTATCTTTTAGAGACTACTATCATCTATGCTACAGAAAGCACATGCATTCTCATGCCTAAGCTACTTCTGAAATCCTATGTGGCTAAACAGAATATAATTTTTACCAAAAATGATACATTTGCCAATATTTTTTTCTCCATTTAATCTATAAAGGAAACAGAGAAATTCTCCCAGTTTCAAATTTTTGATAACTTTAATTCTACATTCTGGCTTCTTTTTGGCTACAAGCAGGCATGTCTGTGCCCTTTTATTCTCTTTATCCTGTCATCTGAGGTACTAGTTCTATTTTTCTTTTCTTTTTATTTTTTTTCCCTTAGGGGAAAATTTGGAGTAGGAGCATGACATGGGTTGAAGGTTAATGGAAATTATTTTAACTTAATTGCCACACTATTTTCTATGAAAAATATACATCTGTGCTATAATAAGGGTGATCATTTTTGGAAAAGCCAAAGGGTATCCTTTCAACTACATCACAATGTTATTAGCTCATTTATTTTCCTCATCTACTCACATATTAACAATTACATGTCTTATATACAAATAAAAACAACCTAATATTTCATATTTTAACATTTTCTAGTATATAATTTTAAAAACTTCATGGAATAAAAAGTAACATTTTTAAGAAATAATCTCTGCTGCAAGTGTTTAGATCCTATGAATACAAATGCTAATCACTAGAATAAACTAGCAGCAGCTATGTCAATAAGTTGTTACTTTATTTTAATGAATTATGATCCATTACTTTTCCCTTTAATAATTTCAGGAAATAGAAATAAAATATGATCTTGTGATGTAGTGCACCATGAAAATCCACATAAATGCATAAAATTGCAACTTTGGCAAGAGAGTTGAACAAGGGGAGTAGAAAGGCCTGGAAAATTTAAAACTCTTTAAGTGCTTTTAAACCATAGATGATTGATAAAAATTATATGATCTACTGGAAAAAAAGAATATCTATTTACAAGTTCCCCATGTCTGTACATCAGTTAAAATAAAGAAGCTCATAATGTCAAGAGTACATTTGCTTTAATGCCTTATGGTTGAAGGAGACATTGATGAATGTATCTATCGATGAATGATCCTGAAATGTAACGTCTCATGACCTGCAGGTGTTTGCATAATGCCTTTCCCTTGCTTGGGCGTTATAATTGCTCTTTGCAGTTTGCATGTGAATTGTACATTTTTGCTAAAATTGAATCTTGCCCTTTTCACATACCCTGCTATTGCCAGCATGATTTCCTCCATAGCCATGGGTAGCTGCCTTTGTCTTGAAGTTGTGATTCAGGACATCTAGAACATATTTTCTTCAATTCACTTCCTCATACTTCTATTACTCTATTTCCAATGTCTTTAAAATTATTCAGTTTTCTGGCAGTTGTCTCACCTTAGTCATGTATCAGATGAAATGGAACTGAGTCCTGATTGCCTTGGAAGGTCATATAACTATGTTTTAAAGAACCATATTTTTTTGATCAATTCTAACTTTTTTATTTTAGGAATATTTAGCCTAATTAATTTGCAAGGAAATTAATGAAATAGTAAAAGACTTGGAAATCTCTTGTTTTATACACATTTAATTGGACCCAAATATGTAACTAATTTGGAAATTACAAATAGCTTCTGTAACTCATATGCCAGTCTACTCATTCAATGTTAGATGTAATTTAATATTTTCAAATTCACTATGGATGAATTAAAGTAATTTTATATTTACATGTGTACATATATGTGACTATAACATTTAGAAAATATGGCTAAGTTTAGTTAACTTTATTAAGTACAACATCACTTTTTCTTTCAACTATAATTTGATGTCATACTAAGAAATTATCTGGAGTCTTCCCTTTCTGAATAATATTTAAACATTAATGCTTATTTTTACAGATATCTTCCTTGAACTACATTTTTAAATTGCAAATTCAAAACTTATAAATAGCTAATATGTTCAAAATAAATTTGCTCATTTTATTTAATTTTCTAAAGTTAGGCAATGACAAGTTGACAGAGAATTTAGCATATGGAAAGGCTTGAATTTTAAAAATTTGTAATTGTATTTATTCATGTTGAATTGTTGATACATTCTAGAAAAGCACTTTTTTAGAGTTATAAGTTTTATATAAGTTCGTTTATTCTCAACCTGCAGCATTATTATTTTCCATCATATATTATGTAAAATAATTATGTAAAATGAACATGTAAAAATTATTATGAGGATTTGATGTTCAGCCTTACTAATTATGGACTGTTGGCTACTTGATGTTAACTTTGGAAGCTGTAGTCACAAGTCAAAGTTTGAAAGAAAGATAACTTTGATAAATGTGTGGCATAGAATAGCCTTAAACTAAAGTCAGCATACTTGATGATATAGCAGAATGCTGCACACTTAGCTGCAAACTCAGAGGGGAAGAACTGGGATGTGCATGTTGGTGGGAGTGAGGGGAGGAGGGAGCCATGGGGGGTTTTAGACATTAGAGTATTAGCTGTAAAGGTTTCTTTCCACACATTTATCTGTTCCATGCACATTTATGTGCTTATTATCTGTTAGGCTCTGGGGATATATTGGTGAACAAGAAAGGTAAGGAACATGCCCTCAAGAGCATACAGTCTACTGGAGGAGTCATATAAGAAAACAAACAGATAACAAATGCATACATTAAATAATGATAAATTGAGGTTACTGCTGTGACAAAAGGATAGGAGAATAGATACTGGACTCACCTGATGAAAATTGTCACTGATGAGTGACTTTAGTTAATAGCATGAATGTTAAACATGCAATGAGTGAGAGGGAGAGAGAGCTGTCCTGATTGCAGGGCAAGTTAAAGAGGCAGTGGCAAAAGAAATGGCACGTGGACCAGGCCAGTAGACCAGGTGGCTGGAGCTCAGCAAGGGAGGACAAAGAGGAAGTCAAAGAAGGAGGCTGGGAGGCTAGACTGTGCACATTTAAATCCTAAAAAATAATAAAAAAAGTTAGAAACAAAAGTACTTATACAGCTTGTTTTCCTGAATCTGAAAACATCTTTCAGTGTCAATATTTTATGTGCCATAATAAAAATAAGAGGAAACTGTTTACATCCCTTCAAAAGTCAAGCTTTTACACTAAGAAATTTAAATGAAGAAAATGAGCCCTTTTCCCAAATCTGCAACCTACAGGTTAAATGCATGGACCTGTCAGAGTCTATTTAAAGAATAATTTTCCAATAAAAAGTTGCTTTATCATAAGCATCATTGCAGGAAATTTCCTTTAATATGCCTAGTTGTCACTTTATTTAAAAGTCTTAAGTTAAAAAAAAAAAAAAACAACCTGACACTAAACGGAGCAGAGATCTAAAGTGAATATAATCTGAATACTTGAGAATGATACACGTAAGCATATTCCTCCCAGAGCTATAGAAACGAGATGAAGCAACGTGTGAAATGAATTAAAATGCTTGTCACCTAATGGATTCTGGACAGAGGGCAGTCTTTAAGACCCAGCGATGGTATTTGTCTGGAGAGGAAATGTTGCTTTTTGACAGATGAGAGAAATCCCCTTAGTGCTGGCTGTGGGAAGAGAGAAGTGAAGTCAGTCACCTGGTGGTGAAGGCTAGTAAAACAGCAAAGCAGGAGGAAAATTTTTCTCTCCCTCTCTCTCTTCTCTCTCTCCCTCTTTTCTGTCTGTAGGATCCACCTCCTATTCTCTCAACTCTTTTAGCATAACCTTCCAAGGAGAACGTTCCCTTCAGACTTTATTATCTTCTTTTCCCCAATGAGAGAATACCTCTCAACTGCAAGACATTTTTTTTTTTTTAAGTCTATGCAGGACTTCGGGGATTCTGTTATCTTGCCAGGGAAATTGATCATGGCTAATGCCTGGGACTGGTGCTAAATGAGCTACCAGAGTACGCCTGGCGGAGCAAGGCTTTTATCATATACTCTTCTCTTCAGTTTGAACACATTTGCTTGAAATTTGCCGCATGATGCTGTCCAGGGAAGCAGCTTTTTTTCTCGGGATGCAGCAAATCGCTGGTTTCTAAGCTTATTGCAGAAGAAGAAATAATCTTAAATAGAGTGGATTGTTTTTTTTTTTAACCTCCTGCTTGATTCGTTGATTCGACTGAGCTGTGTTGCACCGCGGTAAAGATCACCTGTCACTAAATCTTTGAGGAAGTAAAACAAAAGTGAATTATCATTATTATTTATTTATTTTTATTATTTTTAACTGGCGGAGGCGGCGTGACCACGGAGAATGAGACTGAGAGAAGCTGCCAGGGCTTGGAGGAGGATAAAGCTGAGTTTAAGCTGGAAACTAAAAGACTAGATTGTTTTTGGGTCCAACTTGCCCGGTTCCTCTCCACTTCCTCTAGTTTCGCTCCATGGACAGATCAACAAACCTGGACATCGAGGAGCTCAAGGTACGTGATGCTCCCCGGGCGGGCGCCGTTCCCCGCTTTCCCGAGCTCTCCCCTCTGCGCCCCGCTGCCTCTTCCCCGCGCCGATGGAGGAGTTGGTGGCCCCGTGGGACAGCGAGTGGGCATTGCGGGCCAGTGCACCCGGGCGCAGCGCCCCTCCTAGGGCCGGGGACTTATAGGGCGGCTTTCCGGAGCCCGGCAGGCACCTTCAGGCTGCGCTCCCTCCCTCCCTGCCTGCTCCGCCTGACAACAGCCTCCCTGTCCTCCTCCTCGCCAGTGACAGCAGCACCGGGGGTACAGACCCGGCGCCCGGGGAAGCGGCGGCGGCGGCAGCACGGTCTCTGTCCGCTGTCGCCTGCTTTCCCAGCAAAGTTGTCCTAGCTGCGCGGCCACTTTGCCTCCTCTCCCCTGCTCCGAACCCGATGCTGCCCCTGCCCGGTGCAGGGACAGCGCATTTCCGTTCGCAGATTCGCGTGACAGAGGCATCTGCAGCGACGGCTCGTTTTTATCCCAGAACTTCGTGAGACCTTTTTCCTCCCACGCCTGCCGACATGGGTCCCCCCCCGTTGTATTGCCCAGGGCGCGAACTGGTGTCCGGCTAGGGGGGCGGCCGCAAGCGCGGGGACTGGAGGGAGTCCCCCTCTGGCCAGGCTCAGCTAGCACCGCAGACGTGCCGCCCCAGCTCCCGGCTCGGTATCGGGTCTGGAGAAGGAGGGGAGGGGGACGGGGAGGCGGGAGCGGGGCTGGGCGGGGGGGCGTCACCTGGTCCGCCACCCACACAGAGACCCCCTCCTCTGCCGCCCCCGCAGGTCCCCTAACCGAGCCCTCTCCCTCTGGGGTCCCCCATCTCGGCCACGAGGGGCTGCCTGGCAGGAGCACCTAGCCTGACAATTTGCCCCTCTGCTTGTGGGCACCGCTGCCTGCAGTGCCTGTTAAAAAAAAAGAAAAAAACTTAAAAAAACCAACCACAAAATAATTTAAATGTCCCGCTCACTGTAAACAAAAAAGCGGGAAATGGGGTGACAACTGGGAACACCCTTTTTAAAAAAAATTCTCCACCCTTCTTTACCCCTAGGCGTTTTATACATTCTACTCTTTTGTTTCAAAGGGTGTTTGTGCTAGACATTCAGATGGACTCTTTGCTCAAGTGAGGGCTTTTAGATACCCCCCACCTACTAGTAGGAGACTAGTAGAAGTTTGCTTTGAAATGTCAAGGAAATGGGTTTTCCCTACAAGCCAAGCGGGCTGGGAAATCCCCTGTAGGGCGAGTAACAGCGCCTCTGTCTGCAGCCCGCCCTGTGCCCTGGCCTCCGGGCATACCCAGCCTGGGCAGCCAGTTCTCCTGGCGCTCCAAATTGCATAGAAGAGGAAACAAGGAGGGATAGAGGACAGTGGCGCCCGCTGGAACCGCCCTGCCACTGACTAGGGTGGGGTGGGGTGGGATGGGACAGTCAGAAGACACCACTTCCATCTGAGACTCTGGGTTTCTTGGAGGAAAGGAAATAGGAGGCAGATTCAATGCTCCAGTTAAAGTTGGTGAACAAGTTTCTGTGTTTTAGCCAAGGTCACCATTAGTACACCTTGGCCTAGACTAGAAGTCTCCTATTATCTGTGTACTACACCGCTATAGGACACATTGCCTTCCTGTTTGAGAAGATTCCTTGCTGCCTTTTCCCAAGCATCACAGTCTTTTGGGAGAGGGGGTGGGTTGTATTTGAGATGCAAAGGAGAGAATATGAACAATGACTGTGATGTGTTTTTTATGCAGAGGTGGAGTATTCAGATTATTTTCTTGTTAACTATGAAGGATGGCACAGAGGAAAGCTTTTTCTTATGAGAAATGGAAGGAAAAATGACTTGGGGTGAATGTTTTACCTGATATCCCCTTAGTTTCCTACTAGCTTATCCCCCTCTGAACGCCGGTGCCAATAAATTGTTTAAATTAGCAGAAGAGCCAACAACCCACTACGGAAATTTCTGTCTAGTGTTAGCAGAAGATCTCAGCTTAATCTCAGTACTACTGCATATTAATTCAGAGATTCTCACGGCCAGAGTATGATGGACTTTGTGGGCTGGCAGTGAAAGGTAGAGAACTTTGGCTTGAGGGAGTGTGTCGGCAATGACTGACTAGGAAGAAATAAAGGAATGTTAAAGGAAAAGATCTATTGAGGTTGTTGAGAAATTATGTCAGGGGCAAGCTACTGTTGAAAGTCAAAACTGGCAAGAGAGGAAATATAGTCAAGCCTTATTAGAAAATGTTTGAGATCCTCCAGTTAGGGAAATAAATTTGTGTTGTCAGTTTTGACTACACCTCTGGAATACTGAGGCTTCGGAATACCTGCACTCTGAAATACACACACTTTGTAGAGATGGATGTACTGCATGTAGAATAATTTGTCTGAATTTCTCCTTATCAGCAGAATCCATTGGCTTGGATTTTCTAGACAATTCTAGTTCAAGTTATTCTCTGGGGGCTCCTTACTGAAGGGCCTCCCAGGGTGATCCATGCAGAGAGGGGAGAAAAAAGTTGGGATACTTATTATTTTTGGCATTACTTTTGTGTTTTGACTTTTCTTCTTATGATCTAATAATACTTGCATTAAGGCACATTCACATAAAACTTAAGTTTTTATGATGCTTTAAATATATAAAAATGTTTACTGGGATTTGATAAATAAACATGCCTAACATATAAGAATATAGTTTAGCTTAGTTTTAAATGATCAGTGTGATTGTTAGGTGAAGCTACTTGCCTCGGGTTTTAAGAAAAGAAGATTCTACTAATTCTTTATCTTCATTTGGGATAAACTATTTTCTCTTTATGAGATTTTAACAGCAATTTTTTTGTTGTGCTGTGTGTGTGAACATTGATTTTTATGTATTGTACAGTATAAATAGCGTTGTCTTTTGCAAATTTTTAAACTAATGATAAACTATAATAATTGTTAAGCCATTACTGTCATTTTCATAAAAATAAACATGATATGCATATTAAAGGATTTATTGGTGGAAAACTAAAATATGTATGTAAAATTTGCTAATGAAGGCAAGCATGTTTCATCTTCTATTCTGCACATAAGCTCCTGATGAAACAGATCAGTGTTGAAAAGGGAGAGAGAGTTCTCATCCAAAGAATTTGTCTGTTCTTTTCCCTTTGATCTCTATCTGTTTCTCTCTCCAATGAATGAATAAACTTTACTCTGGATTTTGCCCTGGTGTTTGTTTTAAAGAAGAAACAACATCAAACAAACAAAAATATGGGTTCCTGCTTTGGAAATGTGGTTGTTAATGAATATTGATATTAGAAAAAGCACCCTCTATCCTGGAATATCTCTGAGTTATAGAGTACTGTCTGCCTTTTAGTAGTTGATATTTAAATAATACCTTTAGCTTTTATTATAGCGCTCTAGTTGCCCTCTTTTAAACAACTGATCTTATGCACCAGAAGAGAGACTGCTACTAATTTTTAGAGCTGACACTTTTAAATTTCCTTTATGTAGGGTTTATTTATAAGAGACATTGAGGCTGAATAAGTGGTTATGACTAAATATATGACTTTGGTGATTCTTTTACTAGCTTTTGAAATATGGGTTCTAATTCACCCACATTAATTTGGCAATTAAGAAATTATGCTTTCAGATAGTCAGAATATACATGTGGATAATGTTGTTTGCTTTGGGATCAAAAACATTAAACACATCAAGAGTATAATCAGGATTGTTTCTTTAATGGGATGACTGGCTAGAATTTAAAATGGAATTTTTCTACTATTTGCAGAGCATGAACAATTTGTTTCTGGAATATTTTCTTAATTATCATGTAAAGTGTGAAAATTATAAACTATATAGTCATGGTTAATATTGATATAAAACAACTTTTCAATAAATATAATTTTACTTGTGGGTAATTAAATATAGTCCAGTTACTGTTGCTTAATTTTATCTCTTTAATTTAAACACAATTTCATCTACCAAGAGCTTGAATCTTGCCCTACATAGGCAAGGAAAAACCTTTCTTGAATAATACAATTAGGTCATTAAGAAAGTATTATATGGGTGAGAAATTATAATCCAGCAAAAAATTGCATAGGTGTTTAAACAAATGGTTGATTAAAAAATGCTGAGGTCTTAAACCGATCTCATAGTACATTCGTCTACAATTTGAATCAAGTAAGAGAGTTGGTGTTTAGAAAAATTCTAAAAATGTTTTTTGGTTTCATCAATAAGACACTCGGCCCAGGAAAGTGAAGCTTGCTGCAGTGTAGGAGGCTTTCTGATGAGTCTAAGTAGGTGGTATTTTCTTATGTTAGTCATTCCATAGTGAAAAATAGTACTCTCTAACAAATGTCATATTTTTAGCAACATGCCTTATATATTCATTTCTTGGCTTAGAATAAGAAACATATTTGTGAATACTGAATTATTTGACTTCTTTCACATGTAAAGGAACTATAACTTCTCTCCCTCCAGGTGTAGTTTCAGTTCTCTTTCCATACAGGAACTACGCATAAAGATTTTGTAACAGGTAACCTTATTTTTTAAATTAATACTATTTTAAATTAAATCATAACTATGTACATTTACAGAATACAAAGTGATGTTTCAATATATGTATATGATGTGGAGAAATTAAATCAAGATAATTAGCATATTCATCATCTCATTTTTTGTGGTGGGACATTTGAAATGTACTCTATTGTTTTGAAATATACAGTACATTATAATCTTGAATTTTCTATATTCAGAAATGGACTTGTTTAATTGAAGTTGAAATTAACTTCAAGTTACAGTAGTGAAATATTCTTTATGCACACAGAAGGGATGAGGGGACATATTTGATGTGAGTGGAAAGAGAATTAAGAAAAATACATTTGAAGGAGGTTGTGCAAATGACTATTTTAGAACTCTTCAGTTGTCCACTGTCATTACTAAGCATATGTTCCAGCCTCTCTACTGGCTGTTGCTGCTTTGCTGATCTCCAGACTTTACCAACTGAAAATACAT